CCACGTTAGCCCACTGCGTGCTCACAGCACCCCAAGAAGGCAGGCACTCTTTGTTTATGGGTAATGAGTAAACAGGCAGGGAGAGACTAAGTAATTCACTCCAGGTCACACATGCAGTTAAGTGCTGGAGGCCAGACTCAAAGCCAGCATTCTGGCTCTAAGCCCAGCCCTGCCACCTAGCAGTTCTGATCAGGCATGGGGGAGTGGCCAGGTCCGTAGTGGTGGCCGTCAGGCAGGAAGATGGGGCTGCTACCCTGGCCCCCAGGTGGGTGGGAAGTGATAATCAGGCCCGCCCTGGCTCTGTTTTCCCACGTGGTGGCCATACCCGATGCTGTCCCTCATTGTCACTTGGCCCATGAGCGTGTCTGTTGTCACTCTGGGCCCATCCGGGCTGCTGGCCTCAGGTGCTGAGCTCTGTGCCCGACTCTGTCCTCCCCAGGCTCAGCGCTGGCGCAGCGAGAACTTCGAGAGGCCCGTGGATCTCGAGGGCTCTGGGGATGACGACTCCTTCCCCGATGATGAGCTGGATGACCTCTACTCAGGGTCGGGCTCAGGCTGTAAGTACCTCGCCTCTCCTTTCCCCTGTGTGTGGGCAATCCTGTCTGCCTCCAGGGGCCCACGCAGGCTCGCTTCCACGGTGGGGTGAGGGGAGGGGGAGGTCAGGCAAGGGAGGCTCCTGGACCGTGAGCACCGGAAGGGCAGACCACCCTCCTGGGACTGGAACCAGGGCCTTGAGACCTCAGAGCTCGGGACCCCCTGCTCCCCACAGTTCTGTCTCTGAGCACTGCTCGTGTCTCCCTGCAGACTTCCCGCCCCTGGCAGGGAACACGACACTCCTCAGTAACCCAGGGAACAGTACTGCCCTGACCTCTTGCAGGGACTTAGTAGCCACGTCTGGGTTGAGTGGCATATTGTCAGTGAGATCATTTGGCTGACTCAGCTTGGGTCAGGGGGCCCCCTCCCGCCCAATCAGCAGTAGCCCAGGGCAGGTTCCGGGAGCCATGGAAAGGGGCAGATGCCGCCACTGTGCCTGGGACAGCCTGGCTCCGTGGGAAAGGCCAGCAGAGTGGTGCAAAGTGAGGGAGGTGCCCTGAGTTTGAATCCCGGCTTTGCCACCTAACAGCTATACCTCCTTCAGCCACTCCCTCTCTCTGAGGCCCTGTATTCTCACTTGGGAATGAGGAGACCAAATGTGTCTTCTTAGAGCCTCTGGAAGTCTTCAGCACAAGATGTCAGGGTCTAGAACAGAGAAGGAGCTCGAAAAACGGTAGTAAAAAGGGCTGTGTGCTCAGGGCACCTGGCTGGCTCAGTCAGTAGAGTAGGCGACTCTTGATCCGGGGGTTGTGAGTTTGAGCCCCACATTGGGTCTGTGCTGAGATTGGGCCCAAGGAGGGGACAAGATGGTCTGATGGGATGGCAGGAGATTGGGTGCCATGGCCCTGGCCTCCCATGGTCCCCTGCCTTGAGTCTCCCTGCTTTAGCTTACTCCATGTAAGCCTCTTGCAAGTTAATCTTCGTAAAATCCACCTCTGCTGGGTCATGTCTCTCCTCCTGAACCTTCCTGGCTGCTTGCCACCCCTCCTCTCTCTGCCTGGTCAGGCGCCCCTTCTCTCTCTCTGTCTCTCCTCATTTCCTCCCGGGCCCCTTCACGTGTCCGGGCTCAGAGGCAGCCAGGTTGCTCCAGCATTCCCTACAGGAAGGGCTCCTTCCTCTCCTTGCTGTCTCCCTGTGGCCTGTGCCTCTGGGGGGAGCTCTGAATGTGCCCGCCACCATGTGCTCATGGTAGGGGGTACCCAGGTCTGACTTTTCCTAGAATGCCACTCCCCTGCTTGCCCCCAGCCTTTAGCAAGGGCTAAAAACCCTGTAGGGCTTTAGTTGACATTGCCGGGGTTCAACCTGCCAGAAGGTCCAGGCGGTGTGGTCTGGAATAATCACAGAAGACTTCCTGGAAGAGGTGCCCCCCTAGAGGAAATTTTGGCTAAGCAGAGAGGACTTAGGGAACAGCCACCAGCCACCAGCCAACTGGTAACCTTTGGCCAGGCTTGACCTTCCTTCTTTCCCTCATCTTGTCCTGGGAAAATTGTGCAGAGTGAGGGTTGGGAGCCCCCCAGCTTCTTGATGGCCATTCCTTACCTGGGGCCCTCACGCCCCGCATAATCACCCGGCTCCCTAGCTCTCTCCTCTCCCCTGCCCCGTCAGACTTCGAGCAGGAGTCGGGCATCGAGACGGCCATGCGGTTCAGCCCGGATGTGGCCATGGCAGTGTCGACCACACCCGCAGTGCTGCCCACCGTGGACATCCAGCCTGTGGGCACCCCGTTGGAAGAGCTCCCCTCTGAGCACCCCACCCCGGAGCCGGCCACCAGCGCCCCCGTGGTGACAGAGGTCCCAGGAGAGCCCAGCCAGAGAACCACCACCATCTCCACTCCCACGGCTACCACTGCTGCCACGACTGCGGAGGCCCTGACTGTGGCCACGGTGCCCGCCACGGTGGCCACCGCCGCCCCCAGCCTCCCCGCGGCACCCCCTTCCACGGCCACCACCTCCATCATAAGGACCACCGGCGTGCAGAGGCTTCTGCCTCTTCCACTGACCACGGCAGCCACGGCCCGGGCCACCACCCCAGCAGCGCCCTCACCTCCCACCACGGTGGCCGTCTTGGACACAGAGGCCCCAACGCCCAGGATGGTCAGCACAGCTACCTCCAGGCCAAGGGCCCTTCCCAGGCCAGCTACCACCCAGGAGGCTGACGTCCCTGAGAAGAGCACCTTGCCCCTGAGGACCACTGCCCCTGGACCCACGGAGGTGGCTCAGGTGAGCAGGTGGGGAGAGGAGGGTGGGTCAGGGCCTTGGGGAGGGAGGATGCAGCCGGGCAGGAGGGCCTGAGGACCGGGAGGGTCTGGGGACGGAGAGGGTGAGAGATGCATGAGGCTGGAGGGCCGAGGCTGGGAGTAAGGCCCAGGATGAGGACAGTGGTTGAGGTGGCCGGGGATGGAAGGGAGACCAGGATGCTGGGACAAGATATGGATGGGGAAGGGAGTGGGTGAAGCGTGGCGGCGGGGGCGGGGCCGGGGGCTTGGGAGACGGGCACCGCGGCGGGGAGTTCTGCCTCCGTCGTTGGGAGCCTCGGGACCTCAGGAAGTCACTGGTCCTCACTGGACATCATTCCCTCGTCTGCGAGGAGGAGGAAATAATAGGATGCGAACCGTAGTGTGGTGGGAATTGTCCAGTGCCTGGAACAGTGCCTGGAACAGTGCCTGGCAGTGGTAAACCAACCAGAAGTTTCCCTACTGTCATTGTCACCCCCGTTGTTAGTCTGAAGGTGACTGAGAGGGAGGCTGCGGGAGAGGAGAGCCCGCAGCTCACGCGTGCGGCCTGCTGCCCGGGGAGGGGGGAAGCATGCCATCCCTCAGCCCGAACCCGCCGCTCGGGGTGGCGCTGCCTTTTCGTCCTGCGACAGAGGCGGCTTGGCCGGCGACGGCCGGTCAGGGTCTGAGCCCCGCAGTTGGCTCCGGAGGCCAGGGACGCACGTGCATGTGTGTGTGTGTGTGTGTGTGTAGGGCTTAGGGGTGAGGGGTGGAGGGTTGAAGGGAAGAGGGTAAAGATGTCAGGGAGGCAGGGGATGCATGGGATCAAGGAAGTGGGAAAAGCAGCCGGGTCCCTGCTGGGCATGCTGGGCGAGGGGGCAGGTAGCAGCACTGATTGGGGTACTGAAGCCCGTTGCCGCCCGCCTCACGGACGAGGGCCGTCGGGGCGGAGCTGCCGCAGGTCAGGGCCAGCCCCGGCTGGATGCAGGCCCTGCCCTCAGCTACCCTGAGCCGCCGGGGCCGCCTTGGGTCTCATGGTTGTCAGCCAGGCGGGAAGGGTATGGAGAGCAGGATGCCAGTTACAGCATCCGAGCCCTGGGCCCCCATCCACGCGGTGGGAGCCCCCGGGCTGGCCTCCCGGACACACCTCCAGGGGGCATGATGCTCTGTGGGTGTGCTCTTGGAGTGACCCCCAGGCCGAGGGACTCCCGTCTGCCTCAGGTGCGTGGACGGCGGACCGGTCTGCATCGAGCAGCCCCCAGCCAGCAATTTGGCAGCAGTCTCCCAAGGATGATCACTAAGGCGGCTAGAGAGAGAGGGGACAGAAGCGGGCTGGGGACAGGACGGGGCCCGGGAGAAGAGAGGCAGGGTAGTGTGGTGGTCAAAGACACAGCCGCTGGAGCTGGGGAGATTGGGATTCTAGTCCTGCCTCCACCACTTCCTAGCTGTGTGTCCTTGGCAAGTTGCTTCATCTCTCTGAGCCTGTTACCAGCTCTGTAAGTCAGGGGCAATGATATTTCCTTCCTGGGGACGTCGTGAGGGTCAAATGCCCGTCACGTGTTTTAGCGCCGTGCCTGACATGTAGCAAGTGCTTTCTAAGTGTCAGACCCACTGGGGAAGGGGGGTTAGGTGGGGGGCAAGGGGGGTGGGCTGCCCCACGGCAAGAGGTGCGGGCAGGCCTGGCTCCTGGGCTCATGCCACCCTCCCCACAGACCCCAACTCCGGAGTCCGTCCTGACCACGATCCGGGATGAGCCCGAGGTGCCCGTGAGCGGGGGGCCCAGCGGGGACTTTGAGCTGCCAGAGGAGGAGACCACACAGCCAGACACAGCCAATGAGGTGGTGGCCGTGGGCGGGGCTGCAGCCAAGCCGTCACCTCCGCCTGGGACGCTGCCCAAAGGTGTGCGCCCAGGCCCCGGCCTCCTGGACAATGCCATCGACTCAGGCAGCTCGGCTGCTCAGCTGCCTCAGAAAAGCATCCTGGAGCGGAAGGAGGTGCTCGTAGGTGAGGCTTGGGGCCCGGGAGGAGCCAGAGTGAGGCAGCGGTCGGACCTCAGTTTGACCTCTAGGAACCCAAGAAGAGGTCAGGGCGTGGGTTTCTAGGAGCCTCATTTCCTAGGAGGGAAAGCTGGGGCCTCAACACCCAGACCTGCCCTCTGGTTCCTCCTCTGACCTTCCCCTGTCCCAGGGTCTGACCCTGACACCTGCTTCCCTGGGCCGTGCTGGTCAACCCTTCTGGGCCCTCAGCCCCTGGACCCTAATCTCTGACCGCATCCTTTGGCTTGACCTGCCCCCAGCCTTGACGCCCTGAGGACCTGCGTTGGCTGCCTCTCCCGAAGAGTCTCTGGACTCGTGGTCCAGACCCTGCTCCCCACTCAGGAGCAGTGTGGCCTCAGGCAGGTCCTTCAGCTCTCCAGGCTCCCTTTTCCTCATCTGTAGAATGGGGATGGCCATTTTGCACTTCACCCGTCCTCAGTGCACGTCTGCTCATAAGTTAACTCTTTTTTAAGTAAGCTCTAGGCCCTTCCATAGTTGGGATGTGTTGTAGTTCCGCTGGCAGTTTTTTGCTTTCCTAATGTCTATGAGACGTCGGAGCGTCTTCCGACTGGTGGCATCTTACACCCCCTTAGAGTGTGTGTGGGCGTCTGTGGGTGTGGGTCAGGCACCCAGAAGGGAGCCAGGCCCTGGTGAGGGGCTGTGAAGGCCGGCCGGGGCAGGGGGTGTTCGAGTTGACTTCACTCCACCCCCCGCCCCAGATTCAAGACTCTCAGCCCCCTGCCCAGGCTCTAAGCTCATCCCGCCCTGTCTTTAGCCCGTGACCTCTGCCTTCTTCTTCCACAGCTGTGATTGTAGGCGGGGTGGTGGGCGCCCTGTTCGCTGCCTTCCTGGTCACGTTACTCATCTACCGCATGAAGAAGAAGGATGAGGGAAGCTACACACTGGAGGAGCCCAAGCAGGCGAGCGTCACGTACCAGAAGCCTGACAAGCAGGAGGAGTTCTACGCCTAGAGGAGCCACAGTGCCTCCCGTAGCTCAGCATCACCCCCTGCCTCGCCCCCGGCCCGGCCTCACCAGCCCTGGCCTGGGACTGGGCCTGGAAGGGAGCCTGGCCCCAGTTCATCTCTGCCCGCCCTCCCAAGGTCTGCCCAGACTGCCAGCCTCACACAGACCTTGCCTGAGGGACGGGGGCGCTGCCATCTGCCCTCGGCTGTGCCCTTATGAGCTCATCTCTTGTTCCCCCCCCACCCCCACCCCTGCGCTGTGCTCTCCCCGCAATCAGCCAGCTTCCGGGCCTCATGTCAGACGGACAGGAGGAAGGAGGCTGCGCATTGGCTGCTGGGAGAAGGGGTGGGGCTTGACATGGGCTTGAGCCCCACCCTGGCCCCGGTCTCCTCCTGGAGCTAGAGAGGACCTCTGGCTGGTTTCCAGGACAAGCACTGGGCAGGCTCAGCCCTCAAAATCACCGAGACACTGCAGCCTCTCGCCACTGTCCCAGGGCCCCTCTCTGCCCGGGACAGAGGGTACCTGTTGCCGCCAGCCTGGTCTGTCCTGGCCTCTCTGGGGCTGTGGGGTCGTTCTCCCCTCACCCCTGCCCCGTGCACACGGACCACAGGCCTCCGCCTCATCCCCGTCTGCCCCTAAGGAACTGACTTCCTGAGAGTGCCCTGGGGGCCACTGGCGAGGCGGGGCGGGGCTGCTCGGACCTCCCTCTTGCTAGTGGGCTCTGCCCAGACACCATCTCCCACGTGGTCACGCATCACGTCACACACAGAGACAGAAGCACGCAACGACAGAAGCATACACGGTCCTGACCAGCCATCGGTGCAGACCTGTCCCAGACACACACATTCTTCCAAAGATGCTGAGTCTCATGGGTTTCTCACGGCCCCCCAGCGCTTACGACCATGCGAGTCACCAGACATCATTGCCTGATGGTGACAGTGCGGCCTGCCCCTCTCTCTGCCCCCCCACACCCCCACGTACACTGTGGCACCACGCATGTTGTCTCTAGCTTTCAGGCTCACTGGAGACGGTGGAGTCAAGCTGGAACAGTCAGCCCATATTGGGTCCCCTGAGTTGCCCTGTCACACTCAGTCCCTCCCCACGACGCCAACACCACCCGCATTGCCAGTGACCCCGGCACGTCAGATACAATCCCATGTGGATGCACAATCTCCCCCCCCCCCCCACAGCCCCGCACTCACACTGGAGAATAGGTGGGGGCACTTACTTGCCTTTCCTGGAATAAAGTGTGGCCCGGAGGGGATGTTGCCACGAGCCCCCCGGGGCATTGCACACCAGGGAGGCCTGCTTCCCTCCCCTCTGTCGCTTGCCAGGGGGTTGGTCCAGGGCCAGCCCCTCACTAGCTAGGAGCCTTGCTGAGGAAGGCAGGCTGGTTCCTGGAATGTGGCCCCAGGCTGGGGAGGGGGGTTTGGGTCTCCCAGGACTGCAAGCCCTGGGCGGGGAGGGGCATGTGGCCTGGCTCCTGGTCTCCCTGTGTCCCCCTTCTGCTCTGAGCTAGGGGCCGACTCTGCCTCCCAGGACACAAGTCCCCAAAGTGCCTGCGAGGGTGGGCCCTGCCACCCGGGGCCTCCTGCACCCTCTCCCTCCCCCCCCCAACTGGCCTCGCCAGGCCCACCTCGGTCCCACCCTGGGGCCTTCCCTGTGGACACTGACCCGCTCATTGGCCAGACCACCTGATGGTTCTCCTGGGTGCAGCTGGATGGACCTGCAGCTGGGAGCAGCCCGTCCCGACACAGGGCTCCAAGCCAGGAGCTGAGAGCGGGTGGGGGTGGGGGTGCCGCAGGCCTCAGCCCACCTCCCCCCTTCTTTGTTACCCTTGCAAGGGGGGCCGCTTCTGTAGATATTTTAAATGTGGGGCCACAAATCTCCTTTGGGGAGGGTGTGCTTGGTGGGGGCTCCTGAAGCCACGGGATGTGGTCTGAGTTGTGCTTGGCTGGTGCTCACACCCCACCCCTCGCCTTCAACCCAGATTAAAGTCAGGAACCCAGCTCTTGTTTCTGTTCCCTTTTCAAGACTCCCTGGCAGCCGCCTTCTGCAGGGGGGAGGGGGAGGGAGGCCTGAGGTGGTGAGGGCGAGCTTCTGGGGAACTTCACCCCCTGTCTTTTCTACCATCCTACTTCCAGGCCAGGGCTCCATCTTTTAGACTCAGTGTGCCCCTGGGTAGGGCCTGGAAGCTTGTGAGGAACCCAGCCTTTGAAGGGGGCAGGAGTGAGGGGAGGTTCCCTGGGCCTACGATCTGTTGAAGGAGAGGTGACCTGGCCTCGGTCGTCCCTGGAGCAGAAGGGCTGGGGTAGGGGGAGACCAAAGGCCCGGCCTCCCTCCACCCTGCTCCCTGGCGGGCTGCTCTCTTGGGGCCAGCAGCTCTGGTGACAAGGCCTGGGCAGGCCGAGGCTGAGAAGCCAGGGAGCATGGAGGAGAGAGGACACAAACCCAGGGATGGTGGGCCCAGGGTTGGAGACCCCAACAGAGGCCAGGGCCCATGGTGGGGTAGGGCCCGGCAAGGATGGGTGAGCTGGGCTTGGTCTGGCTGGAATGGGCTTGGGGTGGCCTGCGTGGGTCTAGCCTGGCCCCAGCAGGCCTGACTCCCCACATCCTGAGGGCTGGCTTCTAGCCTGGGGCTTGGGGCTTTGCCTCCTGGCACTGGCCTCCTCTCTCTGTCCTTTGCATTTGAGAGAAGAGGCCGAGGGCCTTGTTCATGGAGCCCTGGACCTGAGACAAACAAAGGCCCAGGCTTTGTCCGCATGAAACTGAACACAGTCTGACTAGCCCAAATCCCCTCCGGCCAGCCCAGCTCGGCAGGGTGGGCCAAGACTGAGGTCGGTTAAAAGGACGAGCTGGAGCTGTCCTAGGTGCAATGTGGGTGCGGGGCTCTCACCCAGCCTGGGCGCGATGTGTCTGGTCACACCCGAGTGTGCCTGGGGAGGGCGCCCTGCAGGGCCCTGGCATTTTCTGGAAGCAGGGCCAGTTCCAAAGGGGAGGGAGCTTGTGTGGCTTGAGAACCTCTCAGAACCAGGGAGGGCAGCTGGGGCCTCAGGAGGTGGGGTTTGGCCCCCCCTTCCCCCCCACCCGCTCTGGCTGTGACTTTTTAGAACCCAGGCTCTGTCTCCCTAGGAGGCCCGAGGGGGGACGTCTCCTGAAAGGTTTGTCCCCTTGAGCCCTGGAGGTGGATGGGTGGTAACTAGGGCTGGATGAGGCAGGTCTGCGGGCAGTGGCTTGGGGTGCTCAGGCCAGACCCCGCTGGGGTCGGCAAAGCCATCTGTCCGGGCCTCCGGGCTGGAGCCCTGGGCACAGGAAGCAGACCCATCTCTGCCTCTCGGGCGGGGCAGGGGTGGCCACCACCTCCTCGGCTCTCCTGAATTTCTCCTGACAGCCACCACCCTGGACTTGCTTCCTCAGGCCTCCTGCCTGTAAATAGAAGCCCACAGACTGTACAGATTTACAGAGATGCCAAGACCGGGTCCTGGGGTTGCCATCTAAGGGCTGATGGTTCCAGCATCCCCCAGGTGCCCACCTGGCAGCTCAGCGCACCCAGCCCCAGCGTGGCAGATACATGTAAATATTTTTCGTAGGCAGTGTGGCTCCAGAGAGCCCCCTGAAGACAGTGTCCCTCCTGTGCGTCCTTTCTCTTGTACAGAGCCCTCCGAGAACCCGGCCTGGGGTGGGTGGGAATTTGTCCTTCCCTCCCCCAGGCCTTCCCTGCCCTTTCTCTCCCCCATAACCTGTTTATTAACCATACCTGTCCTGAGTTCATGGCCAAATCTCTAAGGAAAAGTGGAGGGAAAAGACTGGAAAAGGAGGCCCAGGTGCCTGCCCCACCATGGGTACTCACCTGTCCCAGCCTTGTGAAGGAGCTGTTTGGGTTTTTTCGTTCTGTTTTTTTGTTTGGTTGTGTTTTTTTTCTTTTGTTAACACTTCCCGTGCTGTGCCCATTTATAAGAGGAAATAAAATTAAGCTGAAATGATACAGTGTGGCCTGAGTGTGAACTAAACATGGACACTTTGTGGGGAGGGGCAGCCCGTGCCCCCCTCCTTGGGCCTGCGCTACCTTCCCCTTCGGGAGAAATTGAGAACCAAGCAAGGAAAATTGACTGGCAACGCCTTGCGGGAACCTTTATGGTCAAAGCTGCTGTTGGTTGAGAGTGTTTGGGAAACCACAGAGCTGACAGAGTGGTAAGGCCGGGTGGGGGCTGTGGTTGGGGGAGGCAGTCTGTGTGGCGCTGGGGGCCCTGTGGTCCACCCCCTGGGGAAGAGCTGGTTTCAGGCCACAAAGAAACAATCCTGGGACCACGGGATATTGGAATCAGATTGACCCAGGCCGGTTGGCTTGGTGTTGGTATGCCTGGTTTCAAGCTCAGGTGACATTTCCTAGCTCTGATTCTGGAGAAGCTACTTCTGAGCTCTCTGAGCCCCAATTTTCTCACCTGTGAAATGGGATAACAATGACCATCCCCTAAATGGAATGGGGTAAGGATTACATGAGGAAGAACACTGCACGGTGCTGGAACAGAACAGAACATCAGCAGAGGAGGAGTTCCCTGACCTGGAACCACAGACTGACCCCTAGGCTCACAGGGTCTTGGAGCTGGGAGGGCTTTGTCCCGGCCCCTGCCAGCACACCTCTTGTGACAGGCGGTTTAGTGTATCCTGGGGACCAGTTGGTCACTCTGCCTGTTGAAAAGTCCTTTGCTTTTAGCCAAAACCCGCCTCTCCAATGTTGCCTTTCTCTGGGGGCACACCAGGTTCTGCCCTCTTGCCATGGGGTGGCCCCGAGGTATGAGTGTCATGGCCTGAACCTACCTCCTCCAAGGGAAACCACTCCACGGCCCACAAATATTTCCTGTAGAAATTTATTCCTCTTAAAATGTGATACTCACCCAGGGTCTTGGGGGTTCTGGGGTGCGTTGGAGTCTAAGGCCTGCGGATGTGATACAAGATCCTACCCATTCCTCCTTCCCTCCCTTCACTAAAGGTTCTTGAGGCTTCCTCTGTGCCAGGCCCTGCGCTTGGAACTGGGGGACGAGGTGTCACCAGGACAGACCCAGCCCCTGCCCTCAGAGCATGTAGTCTACTGGGGAGAGAGAGACAATAACCGGTGTCTCGTGACCAAGTAATGGGTGGGGGTGTCATTTCTCCTCAGCCAACACCTCCAACCCCCATACCCCCATCCACCTCACTGCTGGACAGTTCTGTCCAGGCCCCGAGGCCTGGGTCCTCGCTGTGGGACCTCAGACAACAGGTCCCCCGAAAGCCTTGGACCACATGGCTATAAAAGGGGGTGAAGGGGGGCGCCTGGGTGGCTCAGTCAGTTGGGCATCTGCCTTCGGCTCGGGTCATGATCCCAGGGTCCTGGGATCGAGTCCCACATTGGGTTCCTTGCTCAGCCGGGGAGTCTGCTTCTCTCCCTCTGCTGCTGCCCCCCTCATGCTCTCTCTCTCAAATAAATAAATAAAATCTTTAAAAAAGGGGGGGTGACGGGACCAGCCCTGTGCTACCTCGAGCTTTTATCAGATCTGGGCCCCAGTTGGAAGCCTGCTGTGATGTGATGGGTTGGTTGGCCACCATTCAAGGCCAGGCTCTCGACACAGCCCCTCGTCCAGGAGGCTTTTGGAAGGTGATTCCGCCCTCTAATGAATCCCTACAGCCTAGAGTTGTCTTCCTCCGGCAGAGTTCCCTTCACCTTCTCAGCTGAATTCCCACGCAGCGCATCCCTAGCCCCTGAGCCGGAAGCGTGGGAAGAGGACGCTCCTGCAGTCCAGTGGACCCGGCTGTGCGCACTTGGGCACGCTGCTCGGCCTCTCGGAGCCTGCGTTCTCACGTGCGAGCGTGGACAGTAAGGCGGGTATTTGGAGCTTTGTGAGGACGCCATGAGATCGTACTGAAAGCAACTCGCATGCCCGGGGACGGCGGCGCCCTGTGCGCCTTCCAGCTTTACCGGCAAACCCTTAATCCCAGCCCTGCTGCTGTCTGTCCAGCTGAGTGGCCTTGGGCGAGTTAGTCACACCTGGTGCTCAGTCTCCTCACCTGTGAAGTGGGGACAATAGTGGTCCCCGCCCCATACGGGTGGTGCTTAGAGCCTGTGTGGCAGGGGCAGGTTCTGTGCAGCTGTGGGCCCTTTTTATTCCTGTTCCCGTCACTGTTCTCGTTACTATGATTTGCAGGGCCCAGCATGCTGCCTGCTGAATGGGTAGAAATCCAAACGTCGGTGTCCGCCCTGGTGCGAACCAGGACTCGGGCCCCGGGGCTGCGAGGGCCGAGCTGGGCGCCTGGATATCGGCCGCAGGGGCCGGGCAGATGGGTGTGTGTGCCCACAGGAGGTGGCGCCTTTCTCGGGGTGGGGGGGCCCTTGGCTCAGGGATGGGCAGGGAGCGGAGGGGAAGGAGGAAGAATAGCGGATTGTTTCCCGCAGCCCAGAAGGTTGCAGCCGCCTGCCCAGGCTGCCCGCAGAACAGAGCGTGCTCAGCTTCCCGGGCCGCCCACCCCGTCTCTGCTGGCCTGCAGGTGGGCTGCGTGCGGACGGAGGGGCCAGGCCGGCCACCGCCAGAGCTGTGAGCCCTCTAGCCTTCCCCGCACTCAGGGAGGACAGAGGCTGGGCCCGATGCCGGATGGGGCGATGGAGGCCAGAGAGTGGACTGCCAAAGCGCCAGGGTGACACACTGTGCCAGACACCCGGACGGAGGCTCTTCTCACGTCACCTCATTGCAGCCTCAGGCAGGTCTGGCCTCCTGGCCGCTGGAAACTGAGGCTCAGAGAGTTTGAAAACCTGAATCCAGAGAGCTATTGGAGGGTGGAGTAGGATTTGAGTCTGGGTCTCTGCCCAAAGTCAATATTCTTTTAGTTTCACCCTCCCATTTCCTTCCTTCCTCTACCCACAGCTGCTGTGTGAGCACGGGCAGGTTACTAAGCTTCTCTGAACCTCAGTGATGTCAGAGAAACAGAGGCAGCAGGGTATGGAAAGACTCAAAAGATAATTAACACATGACACATCTGTGGGGCGCCTGCCAGTCATCGGTGCCCATTCGCAGACACTCTCTCCTTTCGTTCTCAGAGAGAACTGCTGCCCCACTTCACAGAGAGAGAGACCGGGAGCCTGTGAGCAAAGCCCCACACTGTGGGACACTTCTGTAGGACAATCCCTCGCTTCTTAATTAATAAATTCTTACACATTCTTACAAGATGAAGAGGGAATGTCCAGGGAAGCTTAAACGGCTTGTTAACTGATAAAGGTGAGAACTTGATTCTGATCCTGGTTCAAAAAATTCTTAAAAAAAAAATCCAAGCTAATTATGAGGCAGGTGGAAATGTGAACTTTGAATGAATATTTGTTATACGGAGATCATTGTCAACGTTCTTAGACGTGATAGTGGTTACTATACTTACGTTTTTTTAAAAAGCGTCCTTATCCTTTGGCAGACCGAACTGTTTGCACATAAAGCCATAGGATGCTTGCGACAGGCTCGCAGCTAGTGCAGGGAGGAGGGCGCAGGTGGGAGAGCAGGGAGAGAAGTGACAGGACATTTGGGTCGGTAATTGGAGAAGCTGAACCATGGGCACATGAGGGCTTCTTATATTATATTCCCATTTACTTGAAGTTTAAATTTTAAATTCTTCATATTAAAATGTTAAAAAAAAAAAATTGATTACTGGGGGCAGGAGGACTTGCCAGGGGTCGCACCGCCAGCAAGTGCAAAGCTGGGTCCTCTGACTCGGAGCCCGGCCCCCGCCTGCCCTCCCCGTTGTCCCTGTCCCCGCCGTCAGGACTGTGGGCTCCCGCAGTGCCACACACCCCCTGCTGTGTGTGGCCCACTTCCAGGAGGCCGGTCCCTTCACGGGCCTCGTCCCCTTCCCTTTTGCGAACACTGACACCCCTGAGCGGCTCTGGTGGAAGAATTCACGTGGGGTTACGAGGGCTGACGTGGGGGGGGGGCTACCCTCCTGCAGAGAAACGGGCAGCCACGGCCCTTCCCACGCGAGGAGTGTGTCCCCGATTTCCGGGGAATTCTTGGCCTTGCTCACACTGTTCACGTGGGTCCCGGGAGGTGAGCTGGCTGGGGATTACTCCTCCTACTTTGAAGGACATTAGATCTGGTCATTTCCCTCCATTTACAAGGCTCTGGCTGGGAATCCTGAAAGAGACTCTTACCGCCCTAGCGGGCTGCGAGGGAAAAGCACGGGCTTGGCATGAACAGACGTGGGTTATCCCTCAGCCTCAGCCGGTGCCTCCCGGGCTGTCCCCGGGAAGCCACTTTGCTCCCCCACCCCCCGACTTTGGCTTCCTCCTCTGTAGAATGCGCACGGTGGGACCACTAAAGGGGTTTGTGGGGATCCAAAGGGCGGGCAGATCCAAGTGCTCACCACAATGCCTGACACACAGCAGGGGCACGTCAGCACCAGCACCGCTCCTCCCTGTAACAGCAGCCACAGGACGCACGGACGCGCTCTGCATGTGCCCGGCATGCCCCAAGTGCTTTTTTTTTTTTTTTTAAGATTTTATTTATTTATTTGACAGAGAGA